TATTTTTTATTTTTTATATTTTGTATTTATTCTTTATATTTTTGAATTTTTTGATTTTGAAACTGACCATCTCAGAACTTAACCATCAGTAAACTTCCTAATTACGAAATGAAACGAGTATGATGGTATGGTAAGACCAGGCTATCTCAGTCCTATTCTTTCTATAAACTTTTCAAATCTGATATTTGCTGCAGATCCACAAATGCTTAACGGAGCACTACACTGCCAATGACAATTATTACATCGCCAATTTAACATTTTTCCAAGTCATTAAATCATTTCATTTATGCCAACAAATCTGTTATGTTTAGTCAAAGTGATCTCAAAGTAATATGTGCCAGCTCCACTTCCAGCGCTAGTTTTATAAATTGCTTATAAAGTGTTATATTCCACCAAATTATACAAACACTTTAAACATTGCATTGTAAATCTTGTTTGACTTTTTATTTTTGCTAAACCCACTCATATAGTTTTGGTATTGACAGATATGAGCAAGCACAAGAAATCTTTTGTTATGTTAATGAAAGAACTAGTTTGAGGCAGTGACATTTCTTTTCAAACTTTTCAAGGCACAACTCTTGACATAAAGACAAAAAGAAAAAGTGAATTATGATTGACAGCCAGTTAAAACAGTCTTTTGCTCTTTCAGGACCATTTTGACCCCTTCTCTCGACTGCAGCGACACATTCAGGCCACAGACTCCTCTTTGTTCTTCATGTCTGTCAAATGAGTCAGTACTTTGAAGCTGAAGTAAAAGGTTTTCGCCAACTTTGCCTCTTGTTTTATGAGCAGTATGTTATTTGGTGTATCTGTCATACATTTATAAAAACTACCAATTACAGCAATGTGACAAATGTTTATTATTGGGAGAATCTGCCGTACTTTGTGCAGGAAAACAAACAATTCTAAAGATTTTCACTTTCAATTAAGGTTTCTTGGGCCAAATCTTGATTAGTTATTGGCCATTGTAAATTAGCTTCCTTCTTTGCAATGGAATGATTAAGATAAAGTAGAGACGTTACTTTATCGCCACAAAATAAGGAGCAACACATGTTTGCTCCTTATTTTGACCATATTCCCTATAAGACCTCCTTGTCCTTTTGGAACCTTACAAAGAAGTTTGTTTAATGAGCTTTCTGCAAATATTTATGTGGTAACAACAGTCGTGAACTGCATCTGGTGAGAGAAGTTTTTCTGCCCTAAAAACCATATATAGATTGAATACTTTTGGTATCCTCTGTGTGGTCAAGAATGAGCTCGATTAATGAGTTTGCAAAATGTTATCTGCTTTACACCTTAACTGCAGTATAAAATCTGGAAAGTCGACAAACAAAAAATATTGGAATTGTAATTATTGGTTGCCATACAGGCGACAGTAGCTCAGTTGGTCAAGCATTGGCCTTTGGGCCTGAAGGTCGTGGGTTCGAGCCCACCATAAGACCTACTTCATGACTCCCACTGATGACTGCTCTCGTTGTGTCCTTGGGCAAGACACTTAACCCCACTTTGCCTGAAGCTCCCACTGAAAGATCTCAGCTCCTGTGGACTCACACCTACAGGAGGATCAGTGAGGGGCTGGTGCTCTGTGGACTGGGTGCAGCTCTGACTGCCACCCCTCTGACCCAGAAATGGATTAAGGGGAAGAAAATGGATGGATGGATGGGTTGCCATAGTAATCTGCAAAAATTTCATTTATGGATGCTGTACGTGAAATGTGGTTATGATTTGGCGTTAGACCCTGGCAGAGCGGGTCTGGATGGAAGTATTTATAATAGTACTCAAACTACATGAAAACTGAACAAAGAACTGTGAACATCAGCAGTGAGTGACCCAAATATAAACTTAACCTAAATCCATAATCAGATCTTCTGCAAATGTGTTTTAAAATGTTCTACTAATGTTCTATTAATGTTAACCTCTGTACATGTGTATTAAAAATGTAAATGTATAAAATATGATCTAATCAACATTTGAATGTGGTGATGGATTGTTGTTTGTGTTTATTGAACGGAGCTACACCATGGATCTATGTGTGGCTACACCACAGTGGAAATAATGATCGGTAGAACGCTTTTAAATTACATTGAAATCAATGGAGCATTGTGCTTCTTCTGTAAGGAGCATATAATAATCTTTAATAAATACTAATACAGGACAGCCTGCTTCGAGCACGGTTCAGTTGTTCACACGTCTGCTGCGTCTGCTGCGTCTGCTGCGTCTGTTGCGTCTGCTGCGTCTGTTGTGTCTGCTGCGTCTGCTGGCATTCACCCTGCTTGGCAACTCATAGACGGCGTCAGTGTTGGTCAGGCTAGCTACACTAACATTGCACATAACTTCTGTCTGAAGTCGAGAGCAACCACACGTTGCAGTTAGACATTATCCTTAAACTCCAGATTGTTTCTGAATGATATTAAATGTGCCACCTAATTAATTTGACCAGAAATGAAATTATCTGAGCATATTCGGACGTTCTGGGGGCTGTTTGTTTTCATCACTCGAGGTATGTTGGCCATTTCTCTCTTTGTTTCTTGGAGATTTCCTCTGTTTTGGAGCCCTGTTAAGTAAGGACAGCTGACAGTCGACTTATTGTCCCTGTCTCCACTATTGCTGCAGCCAGAAACGGCACACAAAGTCACCGTGTGTGTACAGGGTGGAGGCCACTCCCACACTGTGTTTGCTTTTCCTCCTGATGGCGGATGCCTCGTATACTAGCTATGGTCATTTAGCTATAATGTTTTTACTATCTATCCATCCATCCATTTTCTTCCCATTAATCCAATTCTGGGTCCGTGGGGTAGCAATGAGCTGGGGGGACAAGTGTCTTGCCCAAGGACACAACAACGGCAGACATCAGCAGGAGTCGGTGGAGAAGGTCTAGTGGTGGACTGGAACCTACAATCTTCAGGGTCAAAGGCCAATGCTCTACCAACTGAGCCACTTTCGTCCCAACATCTAACTATCTAGCTTTGTTTTATGGTAAGTTTTATGGTAGATATCAAGCACAGGGCTTTTTAAACTACCTCCACCACAACTTTGAACTGAGAAAGTTTGCTCCGATTCCCACACACTTCATAGCACCGCTCTGTTCTCTGTTCCAAGCCTGTCATTTGGATCTGAATTCACATGATTGGCCGTGACCTCTGACAAATACAACACAATGGCTGCATGTCCTGTCCCCGCCCACCCCCTGGCCCCTGTCTGAGGTGCGTGGGCTTTTCCTTTATGTCATCTACTCCCAAAGAAAATCTAAATGAGAGGCCTAATTGTATGTTAGCCACGTAACAAAGACGACAACCGAGCTACAAAAAAGAGACGCAGTTAGGTACATTGGAAGAAAAACAGGACTGTTTGGAGTGAGAATGGATTTGAGGATTTAAGGAGATTGAGAGTGGATTACCAAAAAAATACCCTTTTCATTGCTTTTACTGATGCGTCTATTGTTTCTCTTCCTGTGTACTCGCTGAAGTAGAATTTGAGCGATTCTTGTATTGTGTCATCTTGTCCTGCATTTAAGGGGCCATTGCTCTCAATGTCCCGGTTCTCACTGACAGACTTCGTTCTTTGATTTGTGTTATTCTTTCACCATTAATAATATGACACCTGCCCATATTATACTTGATAAGTATAGATTAGTATAAGTCCATCCATCCATCCATTTTCTACCCTTTAATCCATTTCTGGGTCAGGGGGGTGGCAGGCAGAGATGCCACCCAAGTCTCATAGCACCAGCCCCTCACTGACCCTCTGCAGGTGGTGAGTCCACAGGAGGACGGCTGCTCTCTGAGTGTGAGCATAGCCTTGATCTTTCAGTGGGGGCTTTGGGCAAAGTGGGGTTAAGTGTCTTCCCCAAGGACACAACGACAGCAGTCATCAGTGGGAGTTGGTGGAGAAGGTGCAGAGGTGGGAATTGAACCCACGACCTTCTGGCCTTAAGGCCAATGCTCTACCAACTGAGCTACTGTCGCCCCAGATTAGTATAAGTATATACTGTATTTCTTTGTTCCAGAACAGGGATGTCAAACTCATTTTGATGAGGCCAAATTTACAAACCATGAGCGCTGGTCAGAGCAGCACAAACACACCTTTTATGACATCACATCCACTAATTCTTCTGATGAAGTTCAAAACAATTCTTAAACATCTAAATCTTAAGTTAGTATTTATATGTTTTCCAATAAGAATCTAGTAGTTGTTTTAGTAACAATAATATCAGTAACATATGATATTCATAACTTTTGACAACCCTCTTTTAACCCTTTCTTTTTCCTCAACCATTTGGGGGATCACTTTTTGAGTCACTATATCTACTGGAAGCTTTGAACTGAAATCTACCTCATTGGGGAATCTCTATCACTTTGTTTTAAGCACTTGTACTATCAAGCTGCATCTCAAACATTTGGCAATGGCCTAGAACAGTGTTTTTCAACCACTGTGCCGTATGATATTATCCAGTGTGCCGAGAAATTCACCTAATTTGTCTAAAAATAACTGCATCCACCGTTGGCGAGTGCTGACTTGTTTTGAACAGTGGCGTAACCACGTAACACTTTTTCATGTCAGTAGGTGGCAGCAGATAGTTCAGTACCTTGAAACGTAAGCATTGGATGCAACCACCAAATGTAACAAGTAGCGGGGAGCATGTGGCGCGAAACGTAAGAATTGGACGCGACCAACAAGTAGAACAGGGAGCGAGAAGCGAAAGTGATGAGACACATTTTTGAAAAGGAATTATGCAATTTCTGAACAGGAATCACATCCTTCGCTCTGACCCCGGGGCAGCTGTGGCCGCTTTGTACTGATAGCTGCTTTTACAACAGCTCAGTGAATGCACATCCGTAACATGGTACTGAGCACGGACTTTAGACGCGTGGACCGAACCATGGACGCGCAGAACAGAACCTTAGACGCGCAGACAGAACCATGGACTTGTGGACAGAATCATGGACTCGTGGACAGAATCCATGGACTCGTGGACAGAACCGTGGACTCGTGGACAGAACCGTGGACTCGTGGACAGAATCGTGGACTCGTGGACAGAATCGTGGACTCGTGGACAGAACCGTGGACTCGTGGACAGAACCGTGGACTCGTGGACAGAACCGTGGACTCGTGGACAGAACCGTGGACTCGTGGACAGAACCGTGGACTCGTGGACAGAACCGTGGACTCGTGGACAGAACCGTGGACTCGTGGACCGAACCATGGACGCGCCGAACAGAACCTTAGACGCGCAGACAGAACCATGGACTCGTGGACAGAATCATGGACTCGTGGACAGAACCATGGACTCGTGGACAGAACCGTGGACTCGTGGACAGAACCGTGGACTCGTGGACAGAACCGTGGACTCGTGGACAGAACCATGGCCGTGCGGACAGCTGAGAGAAGATTTTTTAATGTTTTTTTCACACAATTAGTACCACTTTACTCCCAAACTCTTGTTAACTCGTTGTATTGAGAAATATTAAATAAAGCTTAATGTCAAGGCCTGGATGTTTATTTAAGCACTTTGATGAGAATGACTTTATATTGTGTATAAGCTACAGAGTATATATTTTCACATTTTCTCCTGGTGGTGTGCCGTGAGATTTTGTCTATGAAAAAAGTGTGCCTTGGCCCAAAAAAGGTTGAAAAACACTGGTCTAGAATAAATAAGGTAAAAACAACTTAAAACAAATATTTTGTATTTTGTGTAGTGCTACTTCTAATTAAAAAAGAAAAAAATTACATGACTTTGATCAAGGAGAGAACAATATAGGGTGAATGGCAAAAAAAAATAAAATAAATCCTGGCCTAGTTTATCAAAACCATGTTCTATCAGATTGCTAACTGTCAGAAGATTTATCTGATTTTTTGTATCTGATCTCCAGCTCATCCAATCCCCACAGTTCTTGGCCAAACCTGCGCCTCATGAAACACTCCATGAATGCACACTTTCTAAAATCACACTTTGAGCCCACGCTGCCTGCTCCCTGCGTTTTTCTCTTCTCAGACTGACTTAGGTTTTGAGTCTGAAATCACGCCGCTGCTCCTGCCCTCCACAGCCCGCCGTGGGCCTCCGTGATTGCACTGTCTATGGTCTGGTTAGCGCGTTAGCACGTTAGCGGCCGTCCCGTTGATTGTGCCTGCCTCATGCGGTGTCGTGAGGTCTGTGGGGGAGTCGGGGGAAAGAGTTCCCCAAGAGTCACGGCTGCACTTACGCCACAAGAAAACGCCTCCTGTCAAATCAGATTGTTCCATTATTTTACATTATAATCTAAATCTCAAATTATTGAGAATGAGTTGTCGGAAACTCTAAATACTACTGTCTAAAACATAAATAGGATAAATGTGTGAGTAAACATAAAAATGATTATGGTAACATCTTTTATGGGTATAACACTATAAAACCACATTTTGATACATTTTAACAGTACATAGAATTGACGGTGCCTACAGCTGAAGTGGGTGTGCAGGAAATATGACAAAATGATTTTAAACTACTTGTAACACAACATTTGTAAATTAACTAAAGGAGTAGCTCTCTGCCAGTGTTGGCCAGAAAAAAGTACCTCTTCAAGAAAAAAGTTTGGAGACCCATGCTCCAACCTCAGTGCAGCACCGAGGAATTTCCAAGGTCATGGGTTATGTGGCCCTCTGTCTTGCAAACCCAAAGAACCATTGAGATCATACTTTAAAGGTACACTGTGTAATTTTTAGTGCCATCTAGCGTTGAGATCTTGCGTAGAGGAGCACTGTCTTTGACAAAATAACCAAAAAGACAATTGTAAACCGCTTTGTGACTCTAGTCTGTGAAAGGCAGTATATACTGTAAATAAAGATTACTACTACTTACCTTTCTACATCCTATACGTGTCTACACTGCTACATACTGCAGTGGTTGACCCTCAAGACCAGCAAGTACTTCTCTGCTGGCCTAAACATAATCAGGAATGTATTTCTTTAACAAATATAAGTTTATAATATTCAGTTTATGGTTTCCTTAAGTTGGATGTGCAGCTTCCAGCCAAAGAAAAAGAAAGGGGAGACATTTATCCAATCATTATTCAGTCATCAGGTGTGACTTCTGTTTCCAGGGTCTGCAATCTGTCGTTCGGCCTTCACATGCAACAGTGCTGGCCCATGGTGGTTTAAAGTGAATTAAAACAAACCTGTGAGATTAACCAATCAGCGTCAAGTTGGCTTCCCTGGGGCCAGTATTTATATGGGCAGGTGAGCAGGTGTACAAAGTCAGAGTGTGTGTGTCTTTTGATTGGATATGCGACAGCGAGATCCAGACCTATACAAAGCTGTGCAGAGCCGACAAGTCAATGTAAAGGATTCTCAAGACAAACTTTCCAAGAAAAGCTAGACGCTGTGAAGGGACGCCAACCCTGACGCTTGCAGGCTTTACTAAGCGAGGAAAGTATCTGCCACTGTCAAATAGCTCTGAGTAGTTTTCTGCTCCGAAGAGCAGCAAACTATCTCCCAGTGAATAGTTTGTCTGTCATGCTTCTGTGCGACGGGTTGATTAATCGGAATTGATTTGACAGTGGGCTCTGCACTGTTGTGTCAACAAACAAGTTAAAGCTCATGCTGTTGGTTAGTGGAGAATATTCAGTTGTACTGGACTTCATGTTAAGATGATGCAACGCCCGTTTTTATCTAAATGCATAATGTGTGAACTCCTGGCATCATAATAATGATTTAAAAATGTGGATTAAGTCGGTAGGGCATCCCTGCAGACGCAGGTCTGAAAAGCATTGATAAATAATATTGTAGTTCACATGACTTTTCTAAAGATTTAAATGTGGTTTAATTGTTTTGCCATTACCTTTTACCACTGAAGTTGTTTCAAAGGGATTCACGCAGGTTTGGTCGATCATTACTGCTACATACTGACAATGAAGCAGTCGGTAGGATACAAGACCGAGCCATGATATGGTCCGGTCTTGTATCCTCCCGACTGGTTCCACAGCCCTGTGTGGTGACGTCACAGCCCTTTGTGTCGCTGATGCTGATATTCTAATCAAAACACAAAATATTAAGTATAAATAACATACGCAAAGAAAAACGAACGCACCTCTTGATCTAATTGACTACCTGTATCTGGCGCCCGTCCTTGATAGACACTTGTTGGCTCCTCTCCATTAGAAGGACTATCATCCCCACATCACGTCGCACTCAAAGCACCACGTCTCAGCCACGCTTTGTGAGTCCTCATCACCGGAGATCATTTGTTCCAGACACTTCAGCTCAGTAGCAGAATGAAACGTGCAGTGTGGAGGGGAGACGCGAGAGGAGGGTTGAGAAAAGGGGAGAGGTGGGGGGGTGCCGGGATGGGAGATGGGAAGGAGGGAGTCATGGGTGAGAGGACGGAGAGCGGGGTCAGAGAAGAGCGACAGAAGGGAGAAGAAAGGAGGAACACTCAAAAGAAGGTGAGATTGAGATGGTGTTCGTTGGTGGATCCATATCTGAGTTTGGATCAGCACCGAGCAGACGACTGGTGAAATAACGGAGCTGAGAAACACTTTTCTGCCCCATGTCACAGTCATTCCCTGTGAGTCAGGTATGTCCAAATTAAGGCCCGGGTGCTAATCGCGGCCCTCTTTGTAATGTCATGTGGTCCTCTGCCTTGCTAACCCAAATTAGCCGTTAAGATCATAAACACGAGTTCACAGTGTCTTCTAACTTCAGCTCCACTCTTATAGCCAAACTTTGGAATTTTATTTGTGTGCGGACATTTGTTTCTGACTTCCAAAATCTCATGTGTGACGTTGTAGCTGTGGTGTCGTCTGTCAAATGATTCCTCCTTTTAAAGCTCAAAACAGCCTGATCCAGTCAAAGCTGTTACCTGTGTTGTCAGGCCCTGGACAAGTCAGGTCAACTGCAGTGGCCCTATTTCTATAAAGTTTGGACACCCCTGCCATAGGTTGTGGGTGGACTATGTGTGCCACAAAGTTGGGGACCAGACATCTGTGGCCTGGCCCCTCAGCGCTCGAGGAGTGGCTGTTTGGTCCCGACATCCGGAGTCTGATAGAACTTCCGGTTTCCACCTCCAAGGCCTCGGTGGCTCTCATCTTCACTCCGTCCTCGCAGATGGAGATGCATCACTGTGCATCTGTGGCTTCTTATGGTTCTGACACCCCTCTGCACCAATAAAGACAATACAATACAATACACTTCATTCTTCTATAGCCCTCAATCACAACAGTAGTTATCTCAAAGGTCTTAACAAAACCATTGAAATCACCAACACAGATCAGAGAATCAAACAGTTCAGACAAAAAATATATAGAACACATATTTATTGGTTTATATGGAGAGACCAATGTCCAAGAATGTTGATAAATGTCCATACACGTTGTAGAATGTCTTTACTACTCTGACTACGCGTGACTGAAGTCCAAAATCCCCCTCATTCACTGTCCCAGTTGTGAATGCAAGATTATGTGATTACATTAGCCGAATTTTTACATTTATAGTCATAATGTTTGAGTAATAAGTGTTAGTTACTAGACTTATAAGCAGAGACAGGACCAGAACATGTCAGAACAGTTTGACAATCCCTTTGAACTGAATTTGTTTTTTTAGTGACTTCTTATGCTTTGTAAAAACTGTTGTGAGTTACTAACTGTTAGTGGGTTAGCATTGTCCATCTGTATACAGTCTATGGTCAGGAGCGGAACTGGAGGATTGTACCTAAGATGCATGTTTCGTTTGGTTGGAGAGCTCTTGAAGGAAACCCACCTAGACACGGGTAGAAAAATGCAACACACAGTCGAACCCACAACCTTCCTGAAGTATGAATGCCATCCACTCATTTACTTGATCGGGCGGCACGGTGGCTGAGTAGAAAGCACTCTCGCCTCTCAGCAAGAAGGTCCTGGGTTCGAATCCCGGCCGGACCAGTTTGCATGTTCTCCCCGTGTGTCTGTAGGTTTCCTCCAGGTACTCTGGTTTCCCCTACCACTAAAAACATGTACAATAGGTCTGGCATGCGCCTCCTGTACTGGCGACCCTGCTCCCATCTCTGTGGAGTGAGAGGACAAGTGCCCAAAAATAACAATTGTAAACCCCTTTGTGACTCTGGTCTGTGAAAGGCGGTATATAAATAAAGATTACTTACTCACTTTCTTTGGGAGTCCATGTTTAAGAACAAAAAGACAAAATGCCGACATAAAACTCTAAACACAAGTGATTTTCAACAAATGTAATAAGGTG